GATTTGATTAATAAATTATATTAAAAAACAGTTGGGTTGCTAATTACTAATGCTTGATAGTCCTAAAATAAATTTTATAAACTAATTGTTCTAAAAACAGTTGAGTTGCTAATTTCTGTCGCTTCTTTACCTAAAAATATAATGTACTTCATTACAAATAAATATAAAATAATAAGGGGATAAGATAAGGTCTTTTTACTGAATGAAAAATAAGGCTATCATTTTTTTGGTAAGTAAAATATTTAAATTACATTAAAATTTTTTTCTTACGTAAATTGCATCAAAAAAAGCGACATATTGAGTTTCAAAGCAGATTTACTGTTTTTTTCAGAAGAAAAAAGTTTACTTTTATATCGGTTAATACAGTAAAAAAAATGTTGTAAACACCTTGAGTTTTTTCTTATTACATAGCACATAATAATCATTGTTTTTTTTTTTTTTTTGTTTACTACGTTACCGTAACAGCTTATTGGCGTCATCACTAAAGACCATCCACTAACTACCTACGTGTGGGGTCTGTATTTCTGCACCTATTTACTTATGCCTTAACTGATTACTGACGCATGCACATTAACAGAAATAGTCGAATAGTTTAAGCAAAAATAATAAAATTAGGATATCATGATTTTCTCTCAATTAAAGTCTTTAACTCTATGTTTTCGAAAACTCTATCAATTTTTCATAAAAAAAAAAACGTTATTATAATAGTAAATTTCCAAAGCTTATTATTTATTTCTGAAGTTATAGTTTATTTTGTAATAACCCTCATAAATCTATGTGTTAAGGTCGTAAGTTTTTCGATGCGATTCTCTGAAGAATGGAGTGATAAACTATATAATTTTTTTCATTATATATTCAGCATATTAGTTCAGCATATTTTATTAACATAATATCTGAATTTCAGAGGTTTTTGTCATTCTAGTAAAAATCACCCAAGCCACCTGAATAGTACATCAAATTTATATTATTATGTGTAATTCACAATTTAAGTCTCATTAAAATCGTCCTTGAACTGAAATTTAACTATTGCTTAAATTTAATGACACATAATAATTATATAATACTATAAAACAGTCAGGTTGCACATCGCCGATGCTTCTTTGTGTAAGGGCACATTTTATTAAAAACGAATACTAAAAAACCGTTTAGTTACTAATTGTCAATTCTTACTTGACCGAGGATGTATTTCTTGAATTAACTATACTAAAAACGGTTCGTTTGCTGATTGCCGACGCTTTCTCGTCCATGGGAACATTTTACAATTAAATGAAAACTAAAACAGTTAGGTGGTACATCACTGATGCTTCCTTGCCTAAGAGCACTGTTTATTAAAAAAAATACTAAATTACAATTACTAATTGCCGATGCTAGCTTGCCTAGGGGCACATTTTATCAATAAGTAATACTATTAAACAGTTTGATTGCAAATTGCTGATGCTTCACNTTTAATTACTATCTACACATTATAAAAAAAATTAAATAATAAAATCATACTTCTCTGGTTTGTGTAGTGTACCAATCGCATTCAAGTTAAAGATAAAACAGATCAGTAGGCTTTTTACAGAACGGAAAAAAGTGCGAAAAAAAGTCTTAACATTCGGTTTCAAGACATTTTGTCCCTAGCTATAGTGTCTTGCATAGAAAAATAAAAACGAAAATTTTAAATTCCAAAAGAGTTTTAAATCAGGTAACAAAACTTTTGTAAGTTGTATAAATTAGAAAATACAATTATACCTGTGTTACTAGATGTTTAAAAAAAAAAATTTTAATCACAAAAAAGTGATAACAGAAAAAAAAAGCCAACATTGTCAATATGATATATAACTGTTAGTTGAATACCTAAAAACTTTTTTTTTAACTATGTTGAAATTATTACAGTCTATGAAAATTTTTTGTCAAATCGAAGTTAATAGAGCTCTCTAAGAAAAATAATTTGTATGTTGATACTGTGAGCTATGAGTTGTCCCCGTAGTAAATCTGAGAGCCATGCAATATTTTGGTTGTAAAAGCATGTACGTTGTAATTTCTTTTATTGCAACCAAGTGTGCTATGATTTTTTTGGATGCAGCCTACGAAAATGTAATTTTTTTCGTCACATCCAAGGTTGCTGTGATTCTTTCTGTCGTACCCAAGAGCACTAGGATTTATTTTATCACAATTGAGAGTGCTGTCATTCTTTTCATCGCAACTAAAAGCGCTGTGATTCTTTTCGTCTAAGTTAGGTACTCTGTTGTTCTTTTTGTTGCAGCATATGGTGCTGAAGCTTTATTCGTTGCAACTAGGTGCGCTGTTCTTTTTTTCATCACATCCTGTCGCGCTGTGATTCTTTTCGTTCAAGCAGTGTGTTGGGATACTTTTTGTCAGAGCGTATGGTGCTGTAATAGTCTTCGATTGAGGCTTCGATTTGTCCAATTAAAGAAAGTTTTTAAATATAGCCCATAGGGAGAATGTTAATATTTAAACCTGAAGATTAGTATAATAGAGCATAGTGTTTATTAGTTAGGCCATAATTAGAGAAAGCTTTTTAGATGATCTCTTCTTTTTCTGGGCTAGCTTTAGAATAATAGATACGAAAGGGTTTTGATTACAATTTGGCGAAACAGAGATAGCTTGAGCGCTAGAGCTCTGCTGTGGCTGTGGAGGAGCATTAGATGCAGCAGTCATCTTGGGTAGGGATTGTTCTAGATACTGCTGTAGTAGGCACAGTTATATGCATAATAAGTACTCTTTAATACTTAATACTTATTGCCAGAAAGACCGATTGTGCTCCAGGTATATAATACTAATTTTTAAGGATTTACATGGCTTCAAACAATTAATGACAATGAGAGTTACATGATAAAAATATTGATATTTACTTACTAAAGATGCATGGTCTTCATCGCATTATAAGTTCTATAAATTTGCAATTATGTTATAATAATATTTACTAATTGTTTAATTCAGTTATACGCAAATCAGTGAAAGTTTTGTATTAGAAATTTCAATAGTATCTTACGTTTCTTAATTTACAATCATTAACATACATTGTCAAATTATAGAAATTCCATTACTCTGATTCTGGTTTCTAGAAGGCATGAAAAATATATGAAATAGTGCATCTAATACAACTAGTTGGGGCATTGGCATAATAGTTGTCGATATATGCTTTGATGCAGTAGGTAGGAGTGGATACTCATATAGCTCGTGAGTTCAGAAACTTATAGATATAAATTTTTTTTCTTCAAATAATTCAGACGTCTGATTTTATGTGAATTCGAGATTACAACTTAGGGTACAAGTCATTCAAGCTTTCTTATAACTACCTTTAATGCTGATCAAGTTGCTGCAGCATTAGCGCCTATGTTTGCGAGACTACATTAAAATTGGTTCTGAATATTGTGAGAATTAGTTCATATTTTACATATACAACTGATTTGCGCTAGTCTTCAATAAAACCAAAAATGATACTCAGAGGAATGAAGATACCGAAGTTTCTAAATAAAGTTTCAGACGAAAACGTGCTTCGGAGTATAGCTGTATATAGAAGTTAAGTTAGGAGCCGTACGTTCAAGTACAGATGTCACGGTTCCTATTATCAATTCATTTAATTCCAAAATCAGGGTTCTTCTCGTATTGTAACATGTAGGATTATACTTAGATATTGTTAGTCTCAAAGATGTAGAGAAAGAACCAAAAGTAATAATTACATTACTATTACTATAATAACAAGAAAAAACTTTTAAAATATATGTACATTTATAGATTTAGATTTAAGAGTTTATTAATTGAAATGGAAAAATATGAAGACAGTTGTAGTATATCCTTGTCTACAATGAAAAATCAATGAAAGTTTCAGTGGAGAAGACGTTAAAAGAAAATACCAGTAACATAGCCATGCAAACATAAACATAAAATGTATAAATTCTTCCATTACTAAACGCGTACGCTAACGACGAGTACAAAAAAAAAAACTTGATTTTGATTGGTAAGATAGTTTGACGTCCGATGGCCCTCCAAATGACTGGTTAGCTAAACTTTTTCTTGACTGAAGTTTCTTGCAAATGTGATTGCCTCTATACCTGAGGGTGATCTTCTCTGGTCTGTTATTGTAGCTCCAGACTGGTCGGGAGGAAAACTACAACGTATGAAGCATTGGAGCTAGTTATAGAGCTCTTTCCAAACGTCCCCTGGTATTACGCTGAAGACGTTGGTGTCTGAAGCACCTTTTTTTTGCAGACTCAGTTGTTTTGGTGATCTAAGGTAGGGAGAGTGGTTCGTAATGCTTGCCCGTTGGAGACTGTACCGTTTGCTAAAGTTTATTTTTCCTTTATATCTGTTAGGTTCGCCCACCTCGAAGAAGATTGGTGATTCCTGGTTGAACGCATAGAGTCACGAGGGTAGTATAGGATCGTTGGTAGCCGGGGTTCCCAGCATTGTGACGAATAATTCCGCTCGTGACGTCTGCCACTGAATGACTGACTTGGTTTAATAGTGACCGGCCTTAAATCATCTTTTAGTCGACGAATCATTGTCGGAAATGGTAGTTGAAATTTATTTGTTGGCAAGGTAGTTTAAACTTATGTAGCCCTTAAAAGAGTCGATGAGATCGATGGTTAACTAGCGAACGTAAATACTTATAATGGCCCTGAATAGGGCCAGTAATGAATCTTCCAGCTATTCCTCACTATTATTCTCAATGATGGAGAGCTGGCTGTGGGTAGCTTGACTCTTACCTTCAGAGTCTATACCGCTGACGAAAGAATATTTCGTCTTCTGGTCGTTCCTTAGATAACCAACCACTCATTGTTAGTCGGGAAAGTGGGCCTGGAGAGTACTTTCTCTGAGGGTATGCCGTTGGGACGACCACTGACAAAGAGGCCGTTGTGGCTGCTCGTACTCTTTAGGGATATCTTCCCTGGCTTGCATTTGCAGTAAAAAATTTTCTGACGGCACCGGGCTGGATGTTCGGACGGCCACCAAACTCTTAAGTGTTACAGGAATTTGTGCTCTGGTTAGACATGTCTCCTGGTATTTCACCGGAGGTGTTAACGTTTAGGACATTTATTGATTGGTAGCACTTTAATCCTAAAGATTCAGGGTAGAATTAGACGTAGATCGCTTGTCCAGTGGAAAAGAGTGTTGTCGATAGCCGGGATACCCAGCTGCTCGATTAACAACTTAATTCTTAATGTACTGCCGGCGAACAACTGTGGAATTCGCTGATATGCTCGGGCCTATTATAACCACACTTATGTAATGCTTTGCTGATAGCTCGATTTCACGTCTACGCCACGTGGTGGATCCTACTGAACTAACGTGAAAAGCTAGCTTATTTTTGCAAAATTTTGAGCTTATTTATTGGTATTGTTAATAAATTTTTCAATTTAAAAATCATACTAAAACTATCTAGGACGTGTCAGTAATTGGTACGCAAAATTTTAGCCAGATCGGTTGAGTAGTTTTCATGGTTAGCGATTACAACGTTTTTAGCGACTTTGCTTTATATATTAATATGACTAAAAAATAAAATAATTATGTAGTATGAAATGCTTTGCATAATACAAACAAAAAATTAAAAATCATTATTGTTTCAGAATTCCAGAGTTTTCATTCACTTGTAATAAAACTTAAAAATGGAAAGAGGAAATCGATGTTTAACACTCGAACAGAAGAATCATCAGCTATGCAGTATTTTCAATTTTATGGTTACTTATCTCAACAACAGAACATGATGCAAGACTATGTTCGTACAAGCACTTATCAACGTGCTATTTTAGGAAATTTATCAGATTTTAAGGACAAAATTGTATTAGATGTTGGAGCTGGTTCAGGAATTTTATCATTTTTTGCTGTACAAGCTGGAGCTAAAAGAGTTTACGCTGTTGAAGCAAGTAGTATGGCTAACTATGCTAAATTATTGGTTACAGCAAATAACTTGTCCGATAAAATTATAATAATTTCTGGGAAAATTGAGGAAATCGAATTACCTGAGTCAGTTGACTGCATTGTAAGTGAACCCATGGGTTACATGTTATACAACGAGAGAATGCTTGAAACTTATCTGCATGCAAAAAAATGGCTGACTGTAGGTAAGTATAAATAACAATTATACAGTAATCGTTTTCTGTTTTATTATTGTATTAAGTAAGTCCTTCATTATTTACCACTAATAAATGTTGCACTCATAATTTAGTATTACATAAATATTCAAATTTGACTTATTAAGGAATATTAAAAAAAAAAAAAAAATCAGTATAATTTTGTGCTAGTCCATTTAATAAATGATTGTTAACAACTAAAAGTCACTTTAAAATATAGAAAAATATTATATTAGAAGCTTATTGTAGTCAACCTACTTCCATGTACAATCATCTGCTTTTAAAAATTTTTTTTCTATCTTAAAACTCTATAACTGCCTCACAAGTTTAATGTACAAAGATTTTATGCTCACAAGTAACATAACAATGATTATAACTAATCCTTTTTTTAAAAATATTCAAACTGCTCTTAAATAAGGATTTTATCATTACGTCTTCAAAGCATGTATTACGAGTTCTTTTTATGATTTATTTTAAAAAGGCATCATACAGAGTAAAATAAAGCAATCTTTTTATAATGTGCCTATTTTAGTACCTATAACCATACATTATGGCGTAGGCACGAAAAATGAGCATTTAGAGAAAGGAATAATTTAAGGAGTCGTGGCAACTGTTTATACTCGTTATATTAGATCTTGCAATCCGTAATACATAGGGCAGACAGAGCTTATCGCTGTGTTGAATGCATTGTGCTAGTTGTATTTTTATCATCTTTACCAAAAGTAATTAATTGTGCAATAAAAAAAATGTATGTTTGTCCGCCATAATAGCGCCCCTGGTTGGTTCAAGTTTTTCAATGATATTTGATTTATCAAAAGTAGCCTTGTCACTTCGTGCTCCAAAGATTGTAATAATTTTATGAAATTTTTTTTGTTTTTCTAAATATTTTTAGTATTTTAAAACTTTACTTTTTTTTAGCCTCACAGCTTTTATGCCCATCTTATTTTGCTGCCTTCTTTTGAAATGAACAGCTTTTTGTAACATAACTTTACTATTCTTAGCTACTCGCTTAGAATCTAGTGGTGTTACTGGTAAGTTTCTAGATGGACTGACACTTTTTAATATCTTTTGGCATATGGATCCGTAAAATAGAAAATATTTTTATTGTGGTTATACTTTTTTAAATTTAAATATGCTANGTTACTTGGAAAAAACTTACTCTTTGAAAATAAGATAAGTGAATTTCATTTCAAATGTTGTGGTTTTACTAATTTTTTTAAAAAGTACCCTGATTTTTTTTTTGTTTTTCGTCGCTTGTGAACTGAAATAAGGAGTTACCTCGTGTATACTTACATTAAAGTACTGAGGAGCAGTTATTACTTTGCGAAACCTTTTTAATTTCAATAATGCGCATCATAGCCTTATTGTTGACAAACAACTTTGCTTTCTTTATCCTGCCAATAGTGTTTCATATTTTGTCCACTGGCGGTGCTGAGATTGGTGTGTACCTGGTGGATTGCAAAATAGTAACTTTGTAAGTTTAAAAAAAAAAATTTACCCGTAAATCATCGTTTAATAATTATCATTGCTCTTGCGTACAAAATTAATATTTCCTTTTTTTTCATTTTTATTTCAAATAAAATATGACGGCTTTGCGTAATAGTGTGTAAAGAGCCTTCTAATATGAGCTGGAGATGTATAAGCTGTTAGGAACTTCTACCAAAGTCTTATATGCCATGCTACGGAGTGTGCCCACTTTTTTCCAGTGGTTTGAGCGCCCCGCTGCGGCCAAGCGGCCGAACCAGGCTCACATTTTATTTTATTTTTTTTGAGAAGTACGGTAGGGGTATGAGAGGAGCAAATTCGCGTGGAAATATACATGTAGGTGCACAACTTGGAGACGCGTGGAAGGGGTATATCGAATGTGCGCCTGCAAGGAGAGGAGTAGATATGTCGGCTATATAGCTGTATAGCTGAGCGCATAGCCAAAGCAAGGAGTTTTTCTCTTTTGAGTCTTTTGACTCTGCAACCGAGTAAATGCTATGTATATATTTAACTGACTCGCTCTCGCTCTGGCTTCAATGTTATCTATAAATCTTATTTAATCAAATCGTGGAACTAAATGCTAAAATGCTCCCGTACTCTTAACATTCCAAAATACTCTTCGGATAGCTAAGATAAATAATGCTTATGCCCCTTCGTGGATTGTTTTGCACTTAAGGGTTCAAATCCACTTCATGGTAGATTTTTTTTTTTTAATTTGATTTATCATTTTGTTTTCATTTCTTTTATTTATGTTTTGTTTATATATATATATATATATATATATATATATATGTATGTATGTATATCGTCATTTAAAAAAAAATTTTTTTAATTGTTTGCAAATCTGCAATAAGGTATGCTACTTTTATTCATTTTTATACAGCCAGAAGAATAATAATGAATGGAACAGTTCGATGAATAAGTCATAAAAATTATTTGGCAAGATTCTGAGACAAAATATTTTTTTTAATACCGCAGTATTTTATTAGTAAAAGAAAAAAAACGAATTACCTTCAACGGTGATTAGTAAAATAAATATATTTTTAGGCGGTAAATTATTAAAGAAGTTAAATCATTTATATTAAATGCAGAAGAAGCATCGTTATACTTATAACAATGATACCATCGGGGGAGTGCAAGAAAGAGTCTTGTAAGAGTAAAAGTCAAGAAAGAGCCTTTTTAAATTTTCGAGCAGAGGAAATTCTTCTTAAACTAAAAGAAAAAGCTTTTTTATCCAAAGGTACACTCGCACTAAGGTGCATTAAGCCGGCGTCGATTGATATAATTAAGCCCAACGAAACGTCGCTCAAGATTATTTTTCGACATTTTTGAGTTCTTCTTTGCTCCTCACCCAGCTCTCGGTTGTTCATGTACCTTTGTACGAATCTACACATTTATTCTATACTGGAGAGCAAAACGAGAAGTTCAACAAAAATACATAAATGCTTTTTTGACCAATTTGTTTACTTCTATTGGAAGGTAGTAATGTATATATTTTTATAGATCAATTATACGTATACACACATAAATGTAGCACTAATTTAAAGTTGAAGAAATAAAAACTGAAGGCTTTTTCTTATAGTCAGCTCAAAAATGCTCTTTTACGTCTATTACTTTGCAAAGACTCTTTATCATGCTAACGTGACATATTATTTAGAGTCAGAAATTGTCAGAACTAAAAAAATTTTTTAACTACAAAGAGTGAATCCAAAAATAGCTCGAAATCAGCCCGTTTTTGCAACCTCGAGAATCGTCCCAAATTGTTTATCAAATCATTGTTTATCGTTTGAACATCACTTGGTAAATTCTTAAGAGGGGATCAGCTTTGGTTTCTTAGATATAGGAGGTAGAAGAAATTGAAATATTACTAATGACCGTATAAATCAGGTTTACAGTGAGTCCCACAAAATAAAAGGTATTTTTGCGTAGCTTACCAAACCACAATATTAATATGTTTTTTGGGTCGCTGATTCCGAATCCGAGGTCAGATGACCTTCTTAACGAATGGTTAAAGGTCAGTTGAAGGTCAAATCTGAATGAATCGTAAAAAAACTCTGAAATCACCTCCAGATAAGTTTTTATAGTCGCTGATCACGCATCTGAAGTCAGGTGTGCAAAATTCAATATGCCTAATCAATAATTTCATTTGGGAATAATCAGAACATAATATTGTTTTAACGTCATAAACTACAAAGCTTTATTTTTTTATAGTTAAAGCGGCATTCAATATATCTGGGTTAGAAACCCTTATGACATTATATTGACCGTATCCCAAGTACCATATAATAGTAGTAATGTGGCTGCAGCATTCAACTGTCCGTGAACCACTCTTACATGTGCAAAAATATTCGACGATAGCCAGTCTACCTCTCTTAGTTCGATCAACAAGTACAAAAATATAATGGCTTTTTCATTTCTATAGCGAGATTTCATATGTGCTTTCACGAGCAGTGAATCGATAACGTTAATGCCCTACTAAAAAAAATCCAAGCCTACGGTTCTATGTCTTGCGTTAGGATTGAATTTTTGTTCTAAAAATATATCTTCTGCCACATGTTCGGCGTAGTATGACACAGCATTTTTTAATTGATAAGGGCCTAGGCAAACTTCATACGAATCGTCCAATGAAAGCTGAGGAAACTGCATTAGCGAATTATTTTCTTCATTATTCGAAGAAGTGAAAGCAGTGTCATCGAATGGAAATCTTTGTTGAGAAAGATTACGATCAGTGACTACTACTTTCAATTTATTCGGTACATTCAATCTTGATTTCATAGTTTCTCCAACATTTTCATATTCATTATCAGATAGAATTGGTTTGTGGAATAAATTAAGTAACGCCCAAGCAATTAACAGGTAATCAAAGTCATGGGATAGTACGGCATTATGAGCTGATACAGCAAGCAACTTGAATTTTTTTTTAAGTCGCCTAAATACTTGCTCAATAATCCATTGCACCTTGGTAACAAACCTGGCTAGATTAGCTTCATACGTATCGCGTTCTCCAGTTCCAGGAATATATGCTCTAAGATTTTTTTCACCTTTTAAAAAGTCCATTACATCTCTAAATTCATTATCGACTAAGACAACATCATTTTTATGAAGCATGGATAATAGCTCATCATATCTTCGAAAGCAATCATTCAAAATCAGTGCATCGTTATGGTTTGCATTAAAGGGATCCAAGATAAATAGTATAAATCCGTTTGGCGTGCATCCCACCATGGGTTTAACAAGTGGCAATTTCTATTGCTCACTCCACAACTGCTATTGACCAGCGAAGTTTTTTGATTTTTGAGCTATCTGATAAGTGGCATCAAAAATAATACAGCCCTTATCTTCAGGTATATCGAACAATTATTTTGCCAATGGAGTATTATTAACTATCATGGTCTCACGATAGGGAATGTTAAAAAAATAAGGAACCAAATTTTGAATTAAATCATTTCTTGTTTTTTCTAAATGGTTAGAAATTGATGAAATACTTTGGTATCCAAAGAGATAAG